GAAAAAAAACACATTTAATGAAAACTTGGTGTTATTGTCTTACTGTAAAAGCAAATGTCCATTTTCTCTCACCTCAGTGAAGTTCGGGGAGCAATGCGATACCCTCGGCGTCGTCTTCCCAGGTTAAGGCTTTTAGGAGAAATGTTCTTTTTAAGTACTTCTTTGTCCTATATTGATTATACATGCATGGAAGATGCTTCTAGTGTGTATCATTGTACCTGTCAAGGTTTCAGATGCTGCTATTACAGCAAAGAAATGATCAGGTCAATGTTTTGGAGCAGGTTTATCATTTTTGGCGTAGGTCTCATTTCAAAGTAACTATAAGCCTTATGTTGACCAAATTTCCATGGATAATACATCTAAGGATATACACTACCAGGCATAGCTTGCGTCAGATGCTGAATCTTTTGCAGGTTTCGTTCCAAGTAACTTTGAACACTATAATGGCTAAACTTTCATGGATGATACATCTTAGGATACATATTTTCATAAAAAATGTCTGCCTTTCCATTTGTGCCTTTTGGGTCCGTAAGTTATCGATCAATGTTTAGGCACCTGAGTGTTAACATTCAATAATTTTCAACTTCTCTGCATTCCGCTAAACTAATGTTGGCTCAAAGTATCTATGGTTGAAGGGGGACAACAATTGTGGATTTCATGGTCCCCCCGGGGCCTGAGGCGGGGTGGGGCCAAAACCACTGAAATTTATGCAATTTTAAACATCTTCTAAACATCAAGCAGTCAAAATGTTCGCATGATTGAAAACAGCGTTAGATTTTCTGCCGAAATTGTGAAATATATGGCCCAGGGTCAGAGGATCCAGTGCTAGTGTGGGGGGTTACTGTCGTTTCGCCCCAAAACCAAAGCGTCTCATGCATGAACGCCCCAAAGTATTTCACCGACGCCCAATGACAAATATGATAAAACGATAAACCGTAAACTGAAATCAAAAATTGACATAACTTATAGAATTAAGGAACACATAAACATTTTATTTATGTGTGTATTATGTTAAATTAATACAGAAAAACATACAAAAATTAATTTAATTTAAATATATTTAAAATATAACTAGCGAACTCTGTTTAGTAACTCATTTCACATGCACGCACGTGCATACATGAGCATATCCTCTTGTAGAAGTCCATTACATGCAACTATGTTCTAAAAAAAGAACTACCCGATTTAGTTAAGTTAAGTTTTTTAGCAGACAAGTTTCAGTTTTAATTAACGTTTTTAAATTACTTTCAGGTAAAAGCCAAACAATATGCTTTGTGTTGTGACGACTGTGGGGGATGGCAACACAGACTCTGCAATACAGGTAAATTCGTAAAATTAAATAAAGTATATATAATTTTTGTCTTATCTCAACATGAAAATATTATCTGTAATACTCTTATAAATTAAAATATGTTAAAATCACACACAAAGAAATCCAAATTCTTGTAATGCGATTTATTTTAGGAGCGTTAGAGCTTGTTACCTTATACAGCAAGTGTTAAGGAGCAGTCTGTGGACAACGTATTCGAGAGTGCAGGATCCATAGCTGATGAAAACCTCCCACCACAAAGCCGACCAAAGTTATCCAATTTGATAAAGATAGCCAACAAAACCAGGGAAAAGATGCGCCCGATGAACCGAAAGACTGCAACTTTGAGCTTGCCGAAGGATATCTTCCTGTAAGATTCCTTCACAAAGACATTTGTTTAGATGGACAACGGCACATCATATTTGCCACAGCTGGGCAATTAGATGTATTGGCCAACTAACAGATTTGGTGAATGGTACGTTTAAAGTTGTCAGGAGCCCTTTTGCCCAGTTGTTTTCGAGCCATGGATTCCTTGGTGACCATCAAAAACAAGTGCCATTAGCCTTTGTGTTGATGAGTCGACGACAGACTAGTGACTATGTTGCCGTATTCACGTCCTTAATGGCCATCCCTCCACGAAGATCTGCAGTCCAAACCATCATCGCAGATTTCGAGAAGGCTACATGGGCGGCTGCAAGGGAGCCGATCCAGGAGGGTTACCGTCGAGGGATGCCACTTCCACTGGTCACAGGCCATCTGGAGGAAATGGCAGGAAGTTGGATTGTTAGTCCAGTACAACAAATATCGGCACATCCACAAGACTATGAGGTGTATTTTGTCATTGCCCTTCCTGCCAGTAGCTGATGTGAAGGACGCCTTACATTCAGGACGAAGCTCGTGCTGATGACTGCCTTCTTGCCCTTCTGTCCTACGTCAGCAGGAATTGGATGGACAGTAACGTGTTTCCAATCCCTTCTTGGAATGTATACAGGAAGGAGACGAGATCAAACAACGATTGCGAGGGGTGACATAGGAGACTAAACAACGCCGCCAGCGAATCCACGCCTCCCATGTATGTTCTCATCCCTATATTGCACGCTGAGGCAGAGAAGCTTCCCCTTCAGCAACAGATGGTGGAAGAGGGAAGTCTCCACAGACTGCAGCGTAGAGATGTTAGAGAACGTCAGCGACTGTACGAAGACCTATGGGAGCAGTACGAAGCTGGATTCCTGACAGGCTCCCAGCTTGTGCATCTCTCCTCCCGAGTGTGCGGTAAAAGTCGACTTTAGTATAGTGGACTTCCAACTATGCTTTACATGCTAAGCGTACTGTGTGAGAACAAGTGTTCCCGTCCTGACTATTAGTGACGAGACACAAGGACTTATGTTGTATCTATTCATATGTGTTTTATATATACTGTACACATCGTAACTTATCTTGTTGACGTCTACTGAATATCTAAAAATAAATAAAATATGGAAAAAAAACATTTGTTGTTGACATCATTTTCTCGAATTTGATGGGTGGAAACCCTACTAAATATTATATGGCCATTAATCTATAGCACTTCTTTGCAAGAATGGATATTTCAAATGAATACAAATCAATATATTATAATCTTTAAAGAAAATGGTGTCGTTATATTTTCAAATATTGAGGCGATCATTATATGTTAAATCTGGTGCATCCGAGAAACATATAATATGGGGCGCTCGTGAATCGTTACCCATATGGATCTTTATTTGACACCGAAATGAAAATGAACAAGAGATGTTTGTAAAACACCTATGCCCCCCCTCCCCCCAAATTGGAATTTTTCCATGTCCAAGGGGCATAACTCTGTCAAAAATGGTGCGATCGTACCCAAAACAGAACTTGACCTAGATATTCATCTGATAAATCAGTATACTAAATTTCATCTCAGTATGTGCAACGGTTGCGAAGAAAATGAACGGAAACTGCAAATTATTGGAATTTTTCTAAGTCCAAGGGGCATAACTCTGTCAAAAATGGTGCGATCGTACCCAAAATAGAACTTGACCTAAATATTCACCTGATAAATCTCTATACTAAATTTCATTTCAGTATGTGCAACCTCTGGGAAGAAAATGAACGGAAACTGCAAATAATTGGAATTTTTCTAAGTCCAAGGGGCATAACTCTGTCAAATATGGTGCGATCGTACCCAGAACAGAACTTGGCCTAGATAATAATATGATGTATCTGTATACCAAATTTCATTACAGTATGTGAAACGGTTGCAAAGAAAATGAACGGAAACTAAATGGACCGACAGGCCGACCGACGGACAGCAGCAAAGCAATATGCCCTCCCTTCTTCGAAGGGGGGCATAAAAACATGTATTAAAAGCAAATTATTTTTTTTTACAAATTTATAAGCCTTGGAGCGCTTGTGCAATACGTTTGGGGCGCTTGTGATTTATTTTGGGGCGCTCATATTTGTCCTTGGGCGCCGGTAAAAACGTTGGGGCGCTCGTGATTTTATTTTGGGGCGCTCATATTTGTACTTGGGCGCCAGTAAAAATCTTTGGGGCGTTCATGCATTGGGCGTTCTGGTTTTGGGGCGCAGTGACTAGCACCCAGTGTGCTATATTGATTATATAGTGAAAATGCATTAATTTTTTTAAAAAATTTGCGCTGCTCCTGGGTATATATATTAAGTAACCAAGTATATGGTTTTGTTGAGTAAGGTTACTTCTTCCAAAATTATGGATTTCATGACCCTTGGATCGGTCGGGTTCTGGTGTTTTGGCGGGAATCAATTGATTACATAGTGAAAATTCATAAATATTTAAAATCTTCTCTGCTCTTGGGTATACATCCAAATAAATTGATACATAGTGATGAGGTAGGATACTTCTTAATAATTTGTTAATTTCATGGGCCCAGGGTCTGGGATTCTGGTGTTAGGGCGAGATTTATTGTATATATAGTGAAATAGTTTGAATCATATTAAAAATCTTCTCTGCGCCTGAGTATTAAATAGGAATTAATAAACCAACCAAATGCATGGTTATGTTAAATTAAGCCGCCTTTTCCAAAATTGTGAATTTCATGACCCCCGGAGACAGGGGTTCTGGCGTAAGGTTTGAGCTCTGTTGATTATAAAGTGAAAATGCATATAATCTTCTACTCTGGTTTAAATACATTGTACAAACGTTACGTTTACTGTATAAATTCAATAGAGATAAAATATAAATACATTGTACAAGCGTGTGATTCATACTAAACAAGTGTACTATATAATTTTAATTGAGATAAAATATATATAAATTGCACAAGCGTGCGAGATACATTCACTTTCTTTCAAAACTGTTTGATTTTAGCATACGACGTTAGTGTTGCAATGTCTTATTTGTTCTGTAGTTCAAAAAATTGCAGAAGGTTAACATGAAAATCGCATGTATGTAAATCAACGAAGGTTAAAGGTTAACATGAAAATCGCTTGTAAGTGAATCAACGAAGGTTAAAGGTTAACATGAAAATCATTAAATGCAAATCAACGAAGTTTAAAGGTTAACATGAAAATCATTATATGCAAATCAGCGAAGGTTAAAGGTTAACATGAAAATCGTTATATGCAAATCAACGAAGGTTAAAGGTTAACATGAAAATCGTATGTATATAAATCAACGAAGGTTAAAGGTTAACATGAAAATCGTATATATGCAAATCAACGTAGGAAAAGTACAGCACTTTGTTAAACAAACTAATTGTTCATATTAACTCCTCCTTATTCATGAACAGTAAAGAATATTACAGATATTCATCAACAGTACGGAATATGACAGTAGCTCCATCGAACTTTCGGGTTGACGGTGTAACACCAGGGGACGGGCTCGCCGTCTGGGTTCCTGCAGAAGTTGTCCTGGTCACTAAGGTAGGAGTAGCGATGTGTGTTAGGAGTCTGGCTCGCCCAGGATTGACACAAGTCTCCAGTATCTGCAACATTATGTCTACCGAAGTAGCGTTCACCTTTAGGATCAGAAGTAGGGAGGCATTCTAAGGCTGGGGTCGCTGTGAACAGAACAGATAATTGTTAACAGTTAATATTTAGTTAAATTTGTTTCACACATAATGATGATTGAGTACAGCTATATATATAATTTACTATTGTATTTAAGCTTATTTCTCTCTTTCTATTCAACTTGTCATTCGCATGGCACAGTGGTTAGAGCGCATGACCTAAAGTAAGGAGTTGATCCTTACGTCGCAGGTTCGATTTACACTGCGGGAGGTGTAGCACGGTCCTCCGGATGAGACCATATAAACTGAGGACCTTTGTCGCAGTAAGTGTTTGCACGAAAAAGATCCCGCATTATTCAATGTCCTTGAGTACCGATTATAGGACAAAATTTGTAGCCCTCTACTAGAATGAATTTTTTAAATCCAGCACCTTTTTATATCACTTTTTTTCAGATTCATAAAATTCATTCCCACGATGTAGAATATAACCGAGAAATGAAATCTTCCTATCTGTCACCCAGTCCCTTCAAATCATAAGACCATCAGATATTCGATAGATGATTGATTGATTGTATATTGTTTAATGTCCCTCTCGAGAATTTTTCACTCATATGAAGACGTTACCGTATGCAGATGAAGGGCTTCAAATTTAGACCTATACTCGGCACTCAGGGCCATTGAACGATGAGGGTTTTTTATAAAGCAAGCACATAGTCTGACACATAACCTACGTTCTTAAGGTCATATCCAAAAGACACATTACTTTCACTTCTGATGCCGAGCGCTTGGCGAAAACACGTCGCTACCTATTTTTACGTCTAAGTTTGACGCGGCGCCAGGAACGAGAATCGAACCCGGACCTCCAGATCACGAAGCGAACGCTCTACCACTAGACTACCATAAACGGTATATCCGTAGATATAAAAACTAGTTACCACAATCCGGAACATCACACAGCTCGTAGCGTTTGTTTGGATCAGTGGTGTAGCACCACGGCGCTGGCTCTTTATCGGGATTTCTACAGTAGTTCTCAGCTCTGGTCGTCCCTACGGAATGTGCATGAGGAGTCTGGGACGCCCACGCCTGGCAGATCCGCCCAGATTTTGTCACGTTGATCCTCCCGCGATAGTCCCACCCTGTGGTAGTTCGTTTACAGTCGGCCTCTTCCAGCAGATCTGAGAAGTACATCATGTATCAATTGTATGAACTAAATATAGAAACAAAGTGAAATAAAGTTTGAAGTGAACTTAAATTCAGAGAAATTTCTCGATAGCATACAAAATGCACCTTGTGGGAAAGCTGATTAAATTGAAATGCGAATAGACATAGTTAATCTGGCAGTGGGAAACCAAGACAAATATAAGAAAAGGTTAGGAAATATTTGTAGTATGCATTTGTGTATAAATTGTCATTTCACCTTGTATTTCACATTGATTTCCTCTGAATCCCTCCAGACAGGTACAGTTATAGGATGCTCCGTCCACCTCACAATGGCCTCTGTTCTTACAGGGATTGGGAAAACACGGCGAATCCGCTGCAGGAAACCAAAAATAGTGATGGGTTTCATAATAAACCAGTTTCAATTTTATGCTAGTATCAGACACATACGCGGTTGACAAGTAATTACAAAAGGAAAAGATACCAGTGAGTATATTTATCTAATTTTCATCAATTTCTTTTATTAATTCAGACCTTATAAATACTTTATTACCACATGATTTTATTTCACAATATTCTTTCTTTGGGCCGTTTTCTCCTTGTACATAACACCAGGGTTTAGATGACAGGTCGGGGTTCCTGCAGTAATTAGCATCCCCCGTCATAGATTCTGGAATCATTGGAGTTCATTTTTATGATCACTATACAGATACATCAAATGAATTCGTTATTATATCTTTGCTTTAAAATGTTGAGAAAGTAAAAAAAAGATGTATCCAAACATTGTGCACATACCATCTGGCCAGTTAAGACACGTTTTCCCAGAAGCAGTTGTAGAAGTAGTTCCAGCATAGTCTAACCCTCTGCCGGTCATAAGACAGTCGCGCTGAATTTTCTCTGTGAAAAAGATATACTTGTGAAGACTCCTTAAACTTGTGTGAATGAAATTAGCAAGGTGTAATTTCTGCCCTGTTTAATCATTGTCCAACGAAATTAAGTCGACCAAAGTAACTACAATTCACAGTTCATACAAGATTTATGATAAAAATGTTAAGCGATGTTGTCTTTTAATAGAAAGTTATACAACATTGCTTGACTTTTTGTAAGAAAAAAAAATGGGATTTTTAAAAATAATTTATAATGAGTTGTTGCTGAGAAAACTGCGACGATAATTTGCTTTGCATGAAACGTGTTTGAACGGACAGACGAACGGACAAACAGAAAGTTGACGAAAGATTTTATCACAAGGCTGAAACAGTATACACCCTCTTTCTTTGGAGCGGGGTATAAAAATTTCCCACGTCCTTACCACATTGCTGGACATCGCACAACTCCCAGCGGATATCTGTATCTTGTGTAAAACACCAGGCCCCAGCACTGCCATCCGGGTTCCTACAGTAGTTCTCGTCCTTCACGAGATTGTTATAGGAGTGAGTGTGTGGAGTCTGCGAGTCCCATCTCTGACACGGAAGTCCTGTTTTTGTGTGACTGACGGTCCCACTGTAGTCGGCCTGGTTCGGCGTATAAGCACACTCAGTTGAAGCTGTTAAAAACAGGTTATACTTAGACATCTAAAGAGAGGCCAGCTTACTAAGTGCTTTGCTAAAGGGGTATAACAATTGAGTTTAATTGTATAGGTAGTAATAACAAGCAAATTCAAAGAATTGTGGGTTGGATGTTTGTCATTTGTTATGACATATTGTGTCAAAACTTGTCATAGGTAATGCACATGTCAGATATGAAAGCCCTATCTCTTCTTAATCAAAGTCAGAAGGAAGTGAACCTAATGACCCAATATGGCAAAATAGCGAAGACTCAACTTTCCTTAAATACAAATTTAATATATATTGGTAGTTTCTTAAGAAAGGTATCACTATCACCACAAGTATTACATATGTGAAGTATAAAAGTCCTTGCCCGAACCGTACAAAAGTTATGGACAAGTTTAAAGTCTTAAAAAGTCGGTCAAACTCCAAGGTCAAGGTGAAAGGGTCAAAGTTCTTTATGTCCAATGAAAGGTTTTACATAGTATTACATAGGTGAAGTATGAAAGCCCTTGCCCAAACACTTAAAAAATAATGGCTAAGGTTAATGTTTTAAAAGTAGGTCAAACTCTAAGGTTAAAGGGTCCAAGTTATTCATGTACAATGAAAGGTCTTGCCACAAGTTTTACATATGTAGAGTAAGAAAAACCTTGCCCGAACCGTTTAAAAGTTACGGCCAAGGTTAAAGTTTTTTTTATGAAAAAGGAGGTCAAACTCCAAGGTCAAGGTCAAAGTTGTTCGTATACAATGAACGGTTTCCTCACAAGGATTACATATGTGAAGTATGAAGCCCTAGCCCACACCGTTTAAAAGTTATGGCCAAGATTAAAGTTTTTTCATAATTATAAAAAAAAACAAGGTCAATGTCAAAAGGTCAAAGTTGTTGGTATCTAATAAAAGGTCTTGCAACAAAGAATGTATTTGTGAAATACCATTCAAAAGTTATGGTTAAAGTAAAAGTTCGGTATTTTTGTGTAAAAGTGGGTCAATTTCCAAGGTCAAATTTGGTGGTACCCTAAGAAAGGTCTTGTCACTAGGAATACACATGTGAAATATGAAAGTCAAAGCTACACGAAATCGAAAGTTATGAGCAAGGTTAAAGTTTTTTCTGACGGACTGACAGAATGCGATTTAATGTCCTCTCACAAAATATAAGTACCATTCATTTTGAATTTTAGAAATATTTGCAACTTTGAATTTCACTTAAATGATCCGTTTGGGCAAATCTGTGATTAACATTTTGAGAGAAATCAATTAAATTGCAAGATTAGGAATGAGCAAAGAGAGCTGTACGAGACAAGAACAACCTTTGAGATGGTTTTTAGAATGCGGTTATGTTTTGTGTAAAATATAATGTGTAAAACATACAGCAGTATGGTACGTCGCACCAGTCCCACCGTGTGGAGTTAGACGTGGTATAGCACCAAGGCCCCGGCTCGTCAGCGATCCGACAGTAATTAGACTGATTAGCAAGGTAGGTGTACTCTGTAGAAAGGGAAATAATTAGACTGATTAGCCAGGTAGGCATCATACTCTGTAGAAAAGGAAATAGTTAAACTGGCGAGGTAGGCATACTCTGTAGAAAAGAAAATAGACAGATTAGCCAGGTAGGCATCATACTCTGTAGAAAGGGAAATAGTTAGACTGGTTAGCGAGGTAGGTGTACTCTGTAGAAAGGGAAATAGTTAGACTGATTAGAGAGGTAGGCATCATACTCTGTAAAAAAGGAAAAAGTTATACAGGCAAGGTAGGCATACTCTGTAGAAAAGGAAATAGTTACACAAACGAAGTAGACATATTCTGAAGTAAAGGTAATGGTTAGACTTGCATACAAGATGGAAAAACTCTGAAGAAAAGGGAATTACAACCTATAACTGTTTATTTTTTAGCTCACCTGAGCTGAAAGCTCAAGTGAGCTTTTCTGATCACCCGGTGTCCGTCGTCCGTCCGTCCGTCTGTCTGTCCGTCCGTTCTCACGAAATAATGGTTAAGTGACAGTTTTTGTGCCCATTTAAGATTTATGTGACTCTTTTGTTTTATGTGACTGTCACATAAAAATTTGATTTTTTTTTTAGCAGAAATGAGTGTTATGTGACTTAAAAAATCGTTCTAAAGAAGTGTCACATAAAAAATATTGTCCGTATATGGACGTCCGTCAAAGGGTTTGAGAGTTACCTCCCGTACCCCATGTATCATGTTTTGCGCCACATAAATTTTTTTGAAAAAGTCACATAAATTTGTCAGTCAGATAACCTGCATTTCGTGGGTCTGTCCGTCCGTCCGTCTGTAAACTTTTCACATTTTCAACTTCTTCTCAAGAACCACTGGGCCAATTTTAACCAAACGTGGTATAAAGCATCCTTGAGTGAAGGGGAATTTAAATTGTTAAAATCAAGGGCCAAGACCCCTTCCAAGGGGAGATAATCAAGAAAATACGAAAATAGGGTGGGGTCATTAAAAAATCTTCTTCTCAAGAACCACTGGGCCAAAAAAGCTGAAATTTATGTGGAAGCATCCTGGGGTAGTGTAGATATTAAATTGTTAAAATCATGACCCCAGGGGGTAGGGCGGGGCCACAATAGGGAATCCAAGTATTACATACAAATATATAGAACAAATATTTAAAAATCTTCTTCTCAAGAACCACTGGACCAGAAAAGCTGAAACTTATGTGGAATCATCCTTGGGTAGTGTAGATATTAAATTGTAAAAATCATGACCCCCGGGGGTAGGGCGGGGCCACAATAGGGAATCCAAGTTATACCTAGAAATATATAGAATAAATCTTTAAAAATCTTCTTCTCAAGAACCACTGGGCCAGGAAAGCTGAAACTTATGTGGGAGCATCCTTGGGTAGTGTAGATATTAAATTGTAAAAATCATGACCCCCCTGGGGTAGGGCGGGGCCACAATAGGGAATCCAAGTTTTACATGGAAATATATAGAACAAATCTTTAAAAATCTTCTTCTTAAGAACCACTGGACCAGAAAAGCTGAAACTTATGTGGAAGCATCCTTGGGTAGTGTAGATATTAAATTGTAAAGATCATGACCCCCGGGGGTAGGGCGGGGCCACAATAGCGAATCCAAGTTTTACCTAAAAATATATAGAATAAATCTTTAAAAATCTTCTTCTCAAGAACCACTGGGCCAGGAAAGCTGAAACTTATGTAGGAGCATCCTTGGGTAGTGTAGATATTAAATTGTAAAAATCATGACCCCCTGGGGTAGGGCAGGGCCACAATAGGGAATCCAAGTTTTACATAGAGATTTATTGAACAAATCTTTTAAAATCTTCTTTTCAAGAACCACTAGGCCAGGAAAGCTGAAACTTATGTGGAAGCATCCTTGGGTAGTGTAGATTTTAAATTGTTAAAATCATGACCCTCGGGCGTAGGGCGGGGCCACAATGGGGAATCCAAGTTTTACATAGAAATATATAGAACAAATCTTTAAAAATCTTCTTCTGAAGAACCACTGGGCCAGGAAAGCTAAAACTTATGTGGAAGCATCCTTGGGTAGTGTAGATATTAAATTGTTAAAATCATGACCCCCGAGGTTAGGGCGGGGTCACAATAGGGAATCCAAGTTTTACATAGAAATATATAGAACAAATCTTTGAAAATCTTCTTCTCAAGAACCACTTGGCCAGGAAAGCTGAAACTTATGTGGGAGCATCCTTTGGTAGTGTAGATATTAAATTGTTAAAATCATGACCCCCGAGGGTAGGGCGGGGCCACAATAGGGAATCCAAGTTTTACATAGAGATTTATTGAACAAATCTTTTAAAATCTTCTTTTCAAGAACCACTAGGCCAGGAAAGCTGAAACTTATGTGGAAGCATCCTTGAGTAGTGTAGATTTTAAATTGTTAAAATCATGACCCTCGGGCATAAGGCGGGGCCACAATGGGGAATCCAAGTTTTACATAGAAATATATATAGAACAAATCTTTTAAAAAGATCTGCATCACCCAAGTTACTCAGGTGAGCGATGTGGCCCATGGGCCTCTTGTTTAAAAAGATGGACTGTTTAGAAGGGAGTCATCACTTACTATCAGGTCTGATTAGAGTTGTCACCCAAGGGCAAGTACGACCTGATAATTGGTGATGTCTCCCTTCTTAACAGTCCATAATAGTTTTATTATGCTGAAGAACCTAAATTATCAATTAGATGGGCTAGAAAATATTAATTAATTAAACTTCTTGTGTTCTACTCTGCACCGATTCCAAACTTTCAAAATATGTAAACAGACTTTTGCGTCATCGTTAGAATTTTTTTGATTACCGATCCCGGATATTTTACAAAAATATATGTATAATTATTGAGTCATCTTGCTTAAACCAATGTAATTTTATTCAAAGGGAGACTACACTCTTGTACCCTACATTCCGCTAGTAGATCTCATTGTCATTTAAAGGGTGACAACAATTGTCATCCTGCGCGTGAAGGAGACATCACGAATTGTCTCACCTCACGTGACATCCTCTAAACCAATCAGATTGACTGTATAATTATTGAGTCGTCTCGCTTAAACCAATGTAATTTTATTCAAAAGGAGACAACACACTTGTACCCTACTTTCCCGTTTACGCTATATCTCATTGTCATCTGAAGGGTCACAACAGTTGTGATCAAGCGCGTGAGGGAGACATCACGAATTATCACACGTCACATGACATGCTCTAAACCAATCAGATCCACTGTATAATTTTGATGGATAATTTTTAAATTCAAATATTCAGCTATAAATTCATGATTGCAAAATAAATAACTTACTTGAAGTGACTATGTGTGGCTCATTAGATGCCCAGGCTTGACATTTGACCCCGCGTTTTGTGTAGTCACGTGTGCCTTCATACTCTTTCCCTGGCTCAATACATTCCTTTTTACTGGTCATGTCTAAAATATAGGTTAATGAAACGTTATCAACAAGACGATTTCGTATAGCCTTCCTATTGTTTGTACGTAACACTACTTTTTGTTTGGTGGAAGTCACACGTAGTTGTTACTGGTCAGTTTTGTGAATTTCACACAGAGATGCATTATATTTTTTGTTTAGAAGGATGTTGAGATAAGGAACAGTATTCAATCTCTAAGTAAAATTCACCGCTTCATTAAGGTAATTTTCTATCATGCGATGGTCGTAAAATTTGGACAGAAGAATGGAATTTTTGTTAATTTGAACCTTATTACATTGCTCAATGTTTTTTCTGAGAAAAAAACTACAAATATAACCATCTAAAGCGCTTTGCTCAGCACGTGACAGACCTGCATGATTTTCGCTGCGTATTGCATAGTAATACAGCGATGCTGAGATTTCTTCTTGATTTTTTAATTAACATCAAAATGTAAATGAAGTGAAAGGAAAAACTGCGTGGTTTTTTTCGTTTTATGATGATGATGATCAATCAACTTGGTTGCTTGATAATTTTATGCATTTACACTTTTGACGTTTATGCTAATTATTACGCGAGTAAATATTTAAGTATTCAATTTTTCCCCAGTTCTCTGTTAAGCACTATGAAGAAGCTACAATTCGTTTCCAGTAATGACATGGTGTTGCAGCAGTACTCACCACATTGCCCTGTCTCCCACGTGACCTCATCGAGTGCTACGTCACCATCCCAAGAATCTCCTGTAATAGCCTCAAACGAAAGCTACAATTAAAATATAAACTACGTCACCATCCCAAGAATCTCCTGTAATAGCCTCAAACCAAAGCTACAGAAAAAATATAAACTACGTCACCATCCCAAGAATCTCATGTAATAGCCTTAAACGAAAGCTACAGAAAAAATATAAACTACGTCACCATCCCAAGAATCTCCTGTAATAGCCTCAAACGAAAGCTACAGAAAAAATATAAACTACGTCACCATCCCAAGAATCTCTTGTAATAGCTTCAAACGAAAGCTACAGAAAAAATATAAACTTCGTCACCATCCCAAGAATCTCCTGTAACAGCCTCAAACGAAAGCTACAGGAAAAATATAAACTATGTAACCATCCCAAGAATCTCCTGTAATAGCCTCAAACGAAAGCTACAGGAAAAATATAAACTACGTCACCATCCCAAGAATCTCCTGGAATAGCCTCAAACGATAGCTACAGAAAAAATATAAACTACGTCACCATCCCAAGAATCTCATGTAATAGCCTCAAACGAAAGCTACAGAAAATATTAACTTAGAGTTAAAACTATTGCTTTGAACCCTACATATCTTAAATGACCTCTTACATTTTAGCAATTTTCAGGACATTGAGAAAAGTATGTTATATAAAGGTATCGATATTGAACTAATCTTTTGCATGTTTAACGTCGGTAACCTGTCATTTAAACAAAAGTTTAAAGACTACAAGATATTGACGAACAGATATCCCTTTATCTAGTTAAAAGATGGGAAATATGCCAATTAAGCTCTAAATTAACTTATCCTGGCCTAGAAAATTTTTTATGGATTCCTATATTGATTACAAATAGCATTATTAGCTAGCTAGATTCCAAATCATTCAATTTTAAATCTAAGGGCGTTTTACTTTTAAAAATGCATAAAAATTTCGAAGAATTGGATTTCTTTGGTGTGTTATGTATAGAGGAATCTTTACGTAACTAAGTAAGGTGCAGTGATGTCTTACTTTTAGACCCGTTGTTGCTGGAACATTAACTTTTGCCGTCAGCCAATCAGATCCTTGGTTTCCTTCTTTTGTCCACAATGAGGTCTTATTTATGTTTGTTCCCTCGTAAAACAACGACAGCTTGTAAACATTTCTACCAAACATGCTGTACGCAAAAGAAAGGCAACCGTTCTGTTCTGTAAGCAATAAAAAATAGATTCACCCGCTTTAGGAAACAACTAAATGTACTTTGAACAATGAGCTTACTAAATGATATTCCCACCTTCGATATTAATATAATGGCAGCGTCCATGTTTTGCTATGGGGAACCCAAAATATGTGTCGGATCAAAAAGTATAATGGGAAGTGTACAATAGCAATATGTAAAAAAGCTTCTGTGAAAGTCTCATCAAATATTCAGTGGTATGAGAGGTGGGTACCCCTAAGCGTAACAGACGGATGGGCATCCCGATAACTAAATATACTCTCCCACGTTTTAAGCGGGGACAAAATAAACAGACCTGTTTCAAAATCAAATGAATGGAAAAAAAATCATATTGAGCTTTATGAGATTTGAATTCCTTCACTGAACCAATTGCAGCTGAACTCCTTGGCTGAAGACTAGTGATACCTGGTAGGGGGACTGTTGTTCTGATGATGGCCTTATCCCCCTGTTTTCGTGGTAAAGACATCTCAGCAAATAAGAACCTGGCTCCTCTGTAAGCGTCTTCTGGCCTTGTGGATATACTATGTTTCTGCAATTACCATGCACGTATTGATATACAGTTGATCACTTCGTAAAGTGAACATGCAAAAATGAATTGACTCTTACATCAATGTGACACAATGTTTTAACTATATTGTTAAAATAACGTATATAATGAAGTGAGGTTTTTAAAAAGAATGAGCTCCAATCCCTGGAACTTCATTTTATGACTGTATGTTAGTGTATAGTGGTGCTGTAAAGCCAAATTACATATTTTTTTTCATTATGCTCGTGACCTTAATTCCTTTAAATGTATGTAACGACACAGGGGTTATAGTATCTTTTAACAATTAGACATCTTTTTATGTCAACAAATAGAGTGTACTTTGACAACAAAAAGTGTAAGAGACACAAATACTGAGTATCATACCGGTTTTTATGGATAAAGAAACATATCGGTAACTGAAGAAAATTTGGTGAAATGCAAAGTCGTATATTCATTTCATTCCTAGAATAAAAAAAAAAATACGTACAAACCCAAGTCCCCATTGAAAGTTATCACCTTCCTCGATGTTGCTGAAGAAACATTTCTCAAACCTCTCAAAAGTACATTTAAGTTGAGCACCGTCTACACAAAATGAATATTATTAAAATACATTTTCTTTGTAAAGAGCAGAAAATGTCGATTAGATTTTTTTGATATCTTTTATTTGCTTAATCATACAATTTTTAATGTGATTTTTTGTCCAATAAAGATATTGAATAATATGATTAAAAAGAGACAAATTCTATTATTTAAGGAATGACTCTAATTCTTGGCCAAATTATCGAGTATAATATGGTTTGGGTCAGTTTACGCTTTTTTATAATCCGCTTCGCTTATGTATTCCTTATAATTTAATTTTAAAATAATTATACAACTGGGGATGTAAAATTGTGTTGTTTTTATGAGTTCAAATTTACCGCGCAATAATACAACCGTAGTAACGGAAGTGGTGGGAAGCGAGGGGAGGTAAACACTGATACATAGAACTAGCAGCCATGATGCTTGTTTACGTGAGGTAAGGTCGAGTAACTGTTTGAAATTTAAGGTACATTCATTAAATCTGGGATTTTCCATGAATCCCAAGGACTGGAAATGAGGGGATTAATGGATACAGATGATTATGCTGGTTGTCAAGGGGGTGTGTCCCCATACCAAACCAGATTATACAAAATGTTATGCGTTCCTTCTTGGAAATCAACCAATGAGAGGCAAGAATACAAGCAAAATTAAATTATTTTCTCTTAATGTGTATGTCATTATGTACATGTATATCTCATGTACGCCATAAGTTTTATTTAAGAAATGCATTTCCTTTAGATTTAATTAGAACGTCAACTACGACGCCGGTATTTTTCATGGAGACTAATCCTAACTAAATCCATATCTATATTGAATTCTACGAAAAGTACTTCATGCTATGTTATGAAAAGGCTACCCCGGTATACATGTACCAAGGTTACATACCAATAACATGTACCAGGGTTAGATTGGTTACATACCAATAACATATACCAGGGTTAGGGTAATATTGGGTACATACCGATAACATATACCAGGGTTCGGGTAATATTGAGTACATACCGATAACATGTACCAGGGTTAGGATAATACTTGTTACATACCGATAACCTGTTCACAGTTGTCCCCCTTGTACCCAGGCTGACACACACACTTGTATTGACAGGCTCTCAGCGCGGAGGGAATACACACTCCATACTGACAGGTGTTGTCTCTACAGACTAGAGGGGAAAACAAGATTGTAAAGAAGTGCCAGGGCAAACTGGCTGATTAATTCAAGACAATTTTTTAAAAAAGGAAAATTACTGCTTATAACACCCTTTTTTAAATTACAGCAAAGTAGAAAAACATCATTATATCTGAGTGAGATAATTAAATCATGTTTTACTCTTATAAACGACCAAGAATCTACAATCTGAAGCATAGAAAAAAATCAATGTATGAATGTAGTTCCACTCATATTAATATTATTACTTAAATGTGTACCTTCCCTCTCTTTTTCAAAATGAAGCTTGAATCCTTTATGTGTAGCCCTGCTGCCGGCAAATTTGGTATCCATGGTTACGATCATTAACGTGGGTGAATCTACTGACGTCAGGAAGGTTTCTCCAACGACGTCACCACAACGACTGACCATAAATAGATCAAATTGTGATAAAGTTAGAATATTATCTCAAATATCACAACCACGACTGTCTATTACTATTGTTCAAATTGTGATAAATTTAGTTATCACTTTAGTTATCACCTCAACGAATGTCTATAAATGAAACAAATTGTGATAAAGATAGATATTGCCACAACAATTGTCTATAAATAAATCAAAATGTGATAAAGTTAGTTATCACTTTACGTATCACCTCAACAATGGTCTATAAGAATATCAAATTGTGATGAAGAAGGATATGGAGATAACGAACAGTATTCAATCTGAAGTTAGATATCATCAAAACGACAGTCTATAAAAAGATCAGTGTGATAAAGTTAGATATCACTTAAGATTTTGCAAATGTCAGAGTTAGAACATTTGATACCATATTTTTTTTTAGGAACTTACTTCATTCACTTACTAAATGTCTAAAAACATTGACTCAATTGTAGAGCTCTGCCTTTCAGTCATTAGCTGACTGAATCATTTCGAATCATTCTGTGAATTAAACGTATTTCAGTTCATCTTTCAGCATCGTATTATCTTCTATCATTCTGTTTACCAGGTCCTTCTCAAGAAGCAGCTAGCGGATATGACGTCGAAAGGGGATGCTTACTCATTCATGGCACCTGATCCCAACTCTAATGTTTATATAGCTCCATGTTTGCTTTACTTCCATGGATGTTTAGCTTCATTACTGTTCGTTATCTTCATATTTTTTGTTTGTTTGGTGTTTGTTTAATATCCGTATGTTTTTTGGTGAGATTTTGTATGTTTTTTGTGTGATTTTTGTATGGTGTTTGTATAATATTTGTATGATTTTTGTATGATGTTGCTACATGAACGTTACCGGATTCCTGGTTGTCCTGGAAGGTTGTACTGTATCTCCAGCCAATGATAACAGCGGACTGTTCTCGGGTTAAAGGCCATATGGAGGTCATCTATGGTCATTTTTATTATGTATCCTGCCGGTGCCTGGTATTAAATACGATATGTCTTAATATACCAGAAAATTAATCTTAGTTGAATAGAAACTACACAGAAACTTTACATTGTATTTTTATACATGTAAATGAAAGACAGCAGCATATGTTGACATCTGTAGAGGTGTACTAGAAAATATGTTAACCAGCATAAATATCTAAATCTGTTCATAACAATTCATTAAAAATTATTTTGATAATTATAACATCCAATATGATTATTGACAGTTTTCCAAAAACGATATTCAGACAAAAACTCAAAATATTGATAACCATTTACATTTTTAAAATGTTTAAGAATGTGTGTAGGCCATTTTATGACTAACTTGTAGCTAGCTGCAGGGAAATATGAGAACACGATATTTTAAATGTTTTGCGAACAGTGTACAAAATGAATTGTTGGAATTATAAATGCTTTATTCATACATGCTTCATACTATACATTATTTATGTTGTTCATACGGATGTGTTCTACTATGTAATATGTGTTTAAACCTAGGAGATGTATGTCTCTTTTTTTTAAATCTAAAAATGTTTTATTAGATACCTTGACTGCCCATCTACAAATTTTGCCCTGTCCAATAGGGCCGGGATAATTAGGGGAAGTAACTGATACATCTTTGTTTGGCTCCAAAACAAGGTCATTCTCCTTAAGATAAACATATCCACCACAATCTATAAATAAGTAAGGGCCACATTAGTGAAAGATATACCGGTACAAACAACGAACAGTATTCAATATCTTAGTCCATAAAACAATACAAAATAAAGCAGAGAAACACGGACCTCCGAAACATCAGAGGTGGGATCAGGTGCCATGGAGGAGTATGCGGGAACAACAGATTAAGGTAATTCCACCCTCCTCTGATGTCATAGGTTTTTGCAAAAACTGTAATTAGTTTAAATTCATACCTAATAAAACAATATCTCTTGGAAGAATGCTTACAATAGATGCAATGATAAATATTGTAGGTTAAAGAATTTTAAAAAATGTATATTTCCTATATTTAATCAATTATTCTGTCTTTAAGAAATGTTGACAAGGGCAATAACTCATTCTAAGGTCTCTTCATTCAGACATTTGTTTCATTGTAAAAAAGTTTCCCTTATATTCACAATTCAAAAGTATCTTTTAAGTATGAAATATTTAGGAACACTTGGCATCAGAATCATGCATTTTAACCAGTTTTTACATATTTTTCACAATACTTTTTACAAACATGTGCGATTTTTTTATGATGACATACACTTCTGTTTATTTATGTTTCGCATCTTAAATAATATGGTGACCTATACATTTTTTGCAATAATTGGAAAGTTTAAAGTATATTAATTGAAAAAAAAATGCAGTTTTTGTACTTTGAACCTATGAAATTGTGAGGGTGGAAACACTTTTAAGACTAAATCTTGCTGTAAGCTATTTCAATAACATTTAAATTCGCGTTTGAGAACTGCATATTTTTTTCATACATTTTTAAAAACATTTAGTTCAGTCATTCCTATTATAAAAGACTAAATACAGACTCTTTCCAAAGGTTTAAATAAAAAGTTTTGGTAATGTGAGAACTGTTCTTATGATAAAATTTATGGGAAACCGTTTCCAAAGAAATATCAAGTCCAACCCATTCATTCAAATAAAGGCATTTTTTTAAACTTAAAATATTAAGCGGGAGACCATTACTCTTTAAATTTGATTGTAAAACTTGTATTTGACAATTTTTAAGCTGTATTATCGTATTTGAATGCAAGACTTTTAACAACTTTTGTATTAATCTATATTATTTTATTTTATTGCATGATTTGTGACAACTTTTGTATTCAGCTGTATTATTTAATTTGATTGTAAGACTTGTGACAACTTTTGTGTTTATCTATATTATTTTCCTACCTGGATCTGTAACCACTGTCTGACACGTGTTCCCAGTAAACCCCGCCGGACAGTTGCACTTACACGTGACGTTGACGTAACCGCCATTGTCACAGACAGGAGGAGAGGTACAATGAGCTGAAAATATTGAGACGTAAGACTACATAAATGTTTCAATGTCGTCTAGATTTATTCTGTCTTTAAATTGTGCATTTTTTCGCAAAAGACACATTTTACCAAACAAGCAATAGTAAATTAGTGATCCTTTAAATAACTATAACATGTAGCTACACGACAAAAATGTTATTTTTCATCCATTTTATCACATCAATAAAAGCACAAGTTTTGAAATTCATAATGATTTAAAAGTTAGCGCATATGTCTATGTACTTTATTATCAGTTTATTCATAATTATATGTCTATTATCTATGTGATCTTAAGGGGGATGTACGGCCACCTTTAGTGCAGTGAACGCAAAATGTAAACATTTCTTCAAATGGCTAAAATACATTATATTTTGATCAAATTTTAAGTCTTTTTGATAAAGATACAATAAATATGCATAATCGAATGCATGTTGTGCATATATAACCTATACTTTCGCAGAAAAATGCTTTTGATATGCTCCTTAGAACTGCGCAGCTACAGAATTCCGCAGAGCCTTAAAAAATCCAAAAAAATATGCAAACTGTGCATTAATGTTCTCTCTACAACCATTTGTTGAGAAAATGTCTAAATTTTGCACTTTTAAATGATAATTTCAAGTTCAAAACAAGGTACCATTGTCTTCAAAAAGAGTGTAAAGAACCATGAAAGTAGTTCATGGATAGCAGCACGTGGTCTATTTTTAGCACAGAATCTTGTTTTCCAGACCTCTTCTTAATATGGAGGGGCATAACAATCTTTAAATGTAGAAGAGAATTACAGTTGCAAAATATTTCAAATAATATGAACACTTTAAAAAGAGGAAAGGTGTTATAGTGTGGCTTGAAGTAATTTATTTAGTTTGAACATAATTTTTTTTTCTATTTGCCCATATTTTCAAAATTACAATTGTACAAAGTAAAGAGAAAAAAATCAACCTATAAACATCTCTAAAATGATGTTTGGTGGTCCTCCCAACTCAGGGAAAAATTATTGGGTCCGTATTTATAGGTGAGAAAAAAAAATCCTTAAAATTTAAACAGAATTGTTTACGGAAGAAAAAGAAAAAAATATCGTGTAATGAAATGTTAAAAAAATGAGTCGGGCCATTTGTAGGCAGTAGATCGGGAGAGAGGGCAACCAAATATTTTTATAACAAGTGGTATTATAAGGCTAGTACATATTCCATCACATACTTAGTAATGCAATTTTTTTTTAATCTTCGACACTATTTTGAAAAACAAACAAAGGATTTTCGGGGGAGGGGGGGGGTAGCACTCACTTTTTTTGCGATGATAGTCATAGCATATGCAATGGACCTTTCATTGCAAACATTGTGCTCGCTTCTAAATTTCATAGAAACAACTCATTATATTTTATCAAGCTTCGTATGTTCAATAAGCGAGAGCTTAAAACGTTGTCAACATAATGAGACATGATGCGTTTTTGTGTCCAAACATGACCCCATACAATGTGTGGGTCATTGCAAACATTCTAGCTATTTATGTGAGGTGCCTGAAGGAAATCCTATAAATGCCTATTTTTTCTATCTAACTTATAAACAAAATAGACATATGTACCAACTTTTCGAATGTAAGACATGTAATTGCAATTTATTTTTCATGCACTGCGTATTGTTTAACATTTTCAAATTAAATGCTTAGCATCCTCCTTGCAGTGCCCCATTTGAAAATAACTTCTTTCGCCACAGAAAAAAGACCCACCGTAAACACATATGTTTAGGACATTTTTATCTTTTTTTCTTGAGTTTTAAAGAAACCAACAAATTATCAAGACTTGTTCCATGAAAAATTAAATATAATCATGGTAATAAACGGATTTATCCACAGCAGATATATGCACATGCCAACCATGTGCTTAGTGGAATAATTTTAGCGAGGAATTTCGAGTTGTGAACAGAAAAGTTTTTCCCGATTTGCTGGAGTGAGGTTAAAATCGCGTTTTTTCATTAATCAGACGATGCAATGCAACAGATAAAAGTAGTAAGTAATATAACCTAATGATTATTACTTAGTAATTTCTTGTCTTGGTGTTATTATGGTCGCATTTATTCTAAAATCATTGTTATTCGAACTCTGTGTGACAGAGGAATGGCGGACGAAATAAACACATGGCCTCAGGAAGACACACATATGAAAAATCAAATTTTCAAGAATTATGGATAATGACAAGAAAAAAACGAAACAAATTGGTTGTAGCCATATTATCAATGAATCAAACTAACTCCATTTTCAATGCATTTTTCATCTCATGAATGCTGTATCTGCGCAGTTCTAACATGATTAATTTTCTTCTAATTAAGACAAAATAAACTTAATTGTTTACTAATTTTGGTCTCTAACAGTAGATAATTAGTGCATTAGCACTTTGAGTAACTTTGAGCTAGTTTAGAAGAGTATTAAGCGCATTCTTGGTATTTCTTAGTTTACACCAGACTAGATCCAATATGGCTTGTACATCCCCCTTAATGATTTACAAGTGTGTGTTTCTAACCGGTACATTCAAAATGATTTTTTTTAAGTTAGCGTGCATGTTTTTACTGGTGCATTAATATTGACTTACAAATTAGTCTGCCTATTACTGGTTTATCAATAATGATTTACATGTTAGCGTGTTTATTACCGGTATTTTAACCGGTATATTAATAATGATTTACAGGTTAGCGTGTACATTACCGGTGTATAAATAATAATTTACAGGTTGGCGTGTATATAACCGGTGTATTAATAATGATTTACAAGTTAGCATGTATATTACTGGTGTATTAATAATGATTTACATGTTAGTGTGTATATTACAGGTGTAACGCGCTTCATGAAATATGCCGGCGTGAAGCGTCGTAGTTCATAACCTCATGAATTTCAAAAATTAAATTCATTTCTTAAATGATTTACAGGTTAGCGTGTATATTACCGGTGTATTAATGATTTACAGGTTAGCGTGTATATTGATTACCGGTGTATTAATAATGATTTACAGGTTAGCGTGTATATTACCGGTGTATAAATAATGATTTACATGTTAGCGTGTGTATTACCGGTGTATTAGTAATGATTTACAGGTAAGCGTGTATATTTATTACCGGTGTATCAATGATTTATAGGTTAGAGTGTATATTTATTACCGGTGTATTAATAATGATTTAAAGGTTAGCGTGTATATTTCCGGTGTATTAGTAATGAGTTAAAGGTTAGTGTGTATATCTATTACCGGTGTATTAATAATGATTTACAGGTTAGTGTGTATATTGATTACCGGTGTATAAATGATTTACAGGTTAGCGTGTATATCTATTACCGGTGTATTAATAATGATTTACAGGTTAGCGTGTGCGTTTATTACCGGTGCATTCATACTGATCCAGGACATCCTTTAGGTCGTAGTAGGATAAGATCTGGCCGTTCGGGTAGTAAAGAAACTTCAGATTTTTGTCTCTTGGTTCTACTGCACTGCCGAAACTCTGAAAATATATACACATAATATTGTATGTATAGGTCTCTTAGTTATACTACATTGCTAAAAGTCTGAAAATATATACACATAATATTGTATGTTTCGGACGTCTCACTAGTTCTACTGCATTGCTAAAAGTCTGAAAATATATACACATAATATTGTATGTATAGGATACGTCTACCCGTATAATTCATTGATATAAAGGAGAAGTCTACCAGTATAATTTATTGATTTTTATAGGAGAATCAATGCAGTATATTCAATATAATAAGCTGAGTAACTAAAGTAATTTCAACTAAATGAACAATTAAAAAATTAATCCAGCCAAACTCGCTTATATGCAACTACACTGTAGATACTTTTTAATTTATTTCTATACACTGTACACGCATGTAAGAAGGAACATGTATTTAGGGGCTAGAAAAACGTCCTTATAACTCGTATTTCCTTTCATTTCAGTTCGATACGCAAGAGTATATTCTACGTATGAACAATTTCTAAAACGAAGTGAATTATTGACAAATATGTTGATGAAACAAGAATTTCAGTTGTCTTGTTCAAAGTCATCATTAGGTAGGGTTTATGGTCGATTGAATAGCATTGTCAGCAAATACAATTTATCAATAAGTCAAATGGTGACTGACTTTTTGTCCCCCCGCTTGAAAAGTGGGGGATATTAATTTGGGTCTGTCCGTCTTTCTGTCTGTCTGTAACGCTTTCGTTTCCACACGATATCTCGAGAACCCTTTGAGCTTTCGCAATGAAATTTTGCATAGCAACTCCCTATGGGCTAAAGAAGACCCCTATTGATTTTGAGGTCAAAAGGTCAAGGTCATAAATTCGCAAATACTCTCTGTTATAACACTTTCGTTTCCACGCTATATCTCGAGAACCCTTTGAGCTTTTGCAATGAAATTTTACATAACAACTTCCTGTGGCCTAAGGAAGACCTGTATTGATTTTGAGGTTAAAAGGTTAAAGTTCAAGGTCGTTAATTTATACATTCTGTCTGTATGAAACACTATCTTTTCCATGCGATATTTTAAGAAGATTTTGAGCTTTTGCAATGTAATTTTATACCAAAACTCCCTAGGACCTCTCTCACCCCTCTCAAAGTGTCCCGCCCCGCTTGTTTTATTAGTATTTATTGTATTACATGTGGCTATTTTTAGCATAGGGGTATGAGGCGAGTTATTACGTATAAAACAGGTTCTCGGTGGACTTTATATTCTTATTACATGTAATAGAACTGTTTAATGAAGGTTAAATTAGACACCGTGCATTGTGTAAAATTTTGACAATATCAAACGTGAATATATATATACCTGTATGTAACGTTATCTTTGCGTATAATTTCCATTAGTTTAAAGCGGAGCCGTGGTCTAGTGGTTATGTCTCTCGCTTCACATGTGAGAGGGCCCGGGTTCGCATCCCCGTTGAGCCATTATCTTTTTTTCGACATAGGTTAGCAATCAAACCTTTATATCCATATTGGCATATTTTATTTGCTTCAGTATACATGTATACATTCAATAATTCTACAAATTCAGTCAAGGGGATCCCCCCCCGACCCCCGCACTGGTTTACTTTTTTCCCTAAGCGGGGGACACAAATTCTTTGAATTAGCTTGTTAATACTAATTGTTAGTTTAATATTTATACACTGAATTGACTATGGATTTTTCTGTTAAATCCAGATCATGACAAGGAGCACACAGCGGGTGTCACCGGTCAGCAGGGGATGTTTACTCCTCTATCCCACCTGCGATGTTTGGAGGCCTGCGTTTGCTCTGCTCCTATTTTGTATTTGAAGGAATTTTGATTTCGAATCATGTACGTTTTCTCCATATTTCCTTTAAAAAACTAACCATATGCACCATAAAGTCATAATTAAACTAACCGCATGCATTATGCTCATTATTATACTAACCGTTTGCACTAGGCTTCCTTAATAAAATAACCGTATGCATTATGATTGTCGTCATAATAAAACTAACCGAATGCATTATGCTTCCTACATCGTACGGGTTCCTATTGTAGGTCAGGCGTTTGTAGTAATGATACCTGGAATCGGGATTGATATTTTTCCAGACAATTCTGACATACCGATCCCGATCACTTCGAACATTCTCGTGCCTTTGTCCAAGTCTGTGTAGCATTTCATGAACCGCTATACCAACCTAAATAAGTATATTTTGTAAAACTGTTATAATTGGTGTCTTTTTTCAAAGGAGTTAAAAACAATTAATATTATTATAAAATCCTGTGTAAGTGCAGAAACGTCAAGAAAAGTACCGGGGTAGTACTTGTATGTAACCTATCTCTTGCTAGTTTGAGGGGAAGGTAGTATTTGTATGTAACCTATCACTTGCTAGTTTGAGGGTGGAAGGTTAATATTCTTTTTGTTATCATTTGGGTATTTTCCTCTTCATACTTAAAATTGAAAACACTCTTAGAAATACTTCTGGAAAATATTTACAAATTTAGGGTGGGTAATTAACTAAAGACTAGAGTTTCTTTAAAGAATGTCTCTAATTCTTGGCCAAATTATTCGATTATAACCTGTTATGGGTCAGTTTACGCTTTATAATCAGGGAAGCACATTATAAAAAGCATAGAATGAGAAAGTGGAGAAGAGGAGTGAATTTATTTTCAACTGTTCATGGAATTCAAGGCCACGGCTAACAAACTGCATGGATAGAATGAACCAAATTCTGAATCGCAACGACACAGGATTAAAAGATTTATAGAGGTATGTTGAAATTTGTTCAAGGTCAGCTTTTAAACAATTTCTTGATGCTTTGTAGGTCGAGCCAAACACTCCTGAAATTTTTTTCTTCAATTTACCATCCAAAATGCTGTTAGAAATTTTAAATTGGCGGTCACGCACAATATCAAAATCCCTCTCAATGTGTCGATTTAGGACAGATCGAATAAAACTAAAGGATTTTTTTGTGGTGTTTGCAGAGCGTTTTGTGTCAGGTTTTGGATTGCTTCAGCACAGAATTTGCTAAGTTGTAATGCGAGTTCCTCTGAGTTTATTTTTTGGAAATGTGTCATTACCCCCACATGTTTCCAGAGACCATTCTGTTGGGGAAAAGTGGTTTAAGGAAAAACAAAATTAGGGGAATGAAAATCAACAATAAGTAATGATAATGTTTAAGTAGTTCAACACTCATACTTATATATGAGGATTCAGCAATTCCTGATTTGGGTCTACTATATTAACTGTTCAACAAATTAAATTATATTTTTAGTAGCATCCTTGCCCTCTCCCTCCCCATAGCAAAAATACACATTTTCTGAATGGGGGCCTCAGATGGCTATACCATATATAGTTTTTAAAACAAAAACATTTTATTTTTTGTAGGATTTTAAGTTTTAATTTGATTTTCTTTAAATAAAATCTCTCTAGTAGATATTAACCAGAAAAGTAGTTCCGGCAGCTGGTTGTTAAGGGGAGGGGGGGGGGGAGTGTCCCCATACCAAACCAGGTTATAAAGTTTTATTTTGTGTTCCTTTTTGTATATTTACCAGAGTCAAAAATACAAACAAAATCAAATTATTTGCCAATACTTGTTTTTAAATAAGGACTTATCTTTTATGTCAATTGAATAAAAAAATTATTACTGAGAAATATTGCTTCATACTCTTTAGCTAATAAAGAAGTATATTTGTTATCTTTTATATTCTTTTCATGACAAGTACCCTTAAAATGACTCACAATGTGAAGTCGTAGTATGTAATTATCATTCCTAGTTTCCCGGGTTGTACTACATTTAATATCAAGAAAACATGTCATGTACTTTTAACAGATTGTTAATTTATCATCTTGAGAGGTTTGAAAATTTTGTGGCAAAGATTTTACCTAAAATAATAAACGACTATAATATTTTAGTGAATCAACTCAACTATCATTTCTTATTGTAAAAACTCAAGTTGGACGACTCCTTAAAACAATACCCTTTATTCGTTAAGGCAACGCATTCACATGTAGTAGTAAGAATGAAGGAAATCCTTTGTCTCTGGCAGATAAAAATTAAAAAGGGGGACACAAAATCAAATCAAATCTCCGAAATTCATTAATGTTTTTCTATATGAAGGTTAAAGACAACCCGACTTACCGATCCACATCCGGGTTCTGCTAAGCTTAGCACGTGTTCTCCATATCCGCCGAAGCCCACACCAGAACCACAACTTGACCCACTGTAACGGTGATCTTATTGCTTTATTCTTATCATTTACAGAAATACTCTAATCGATATTACATCTATAGACCGATAATCGATATAACATCTATAGAGCGATAATAGATATTACATCTATAGACCGATAACCGATATTACATCTATAGACCGATAATCGATATTACATCTATAGACCGATAATCGATATTACATCTATAGACCGATAATTGATATTACATCTATACACCGATATTACATCTATAGACCGAAAACAAACTGCAAAAGAATTGATAATATAATATGAAGTATAATGTTTAAGAAAGATAATTACTAGTATGCTGAATGCCCTTTAAAGTTTTTTTAAACTTATAAATACCATAGAACTAGTAATACAAGTTGAAAATAACCAGCTCTAAAGAAACAAAAAAATCTTTAAGATTAATTTTAATGATTTAAAAGATTCTTCAAAATCTGCTGAAAACAAAGAAAACCGTTACTTCATGAATGTTGAATCATTTGCAAAAAATTCATTGTTCTTTAAAGATCACTTTGATTGCCAAACTCTATTGT